TTAGGTTTATATTGCTAAATTTTTCAAAGGTGCAAATTCTAGCCACTGGCGGGGAAAATTTGTGGAAATCTATTGACGACTTTTTTGAAAAATGGTGATCAAAATGAAAAATGTAGAACATAATTTGGAAATGATTACCATTACAATTGGAAGCAAATTTTATCCTCCAATTACAAAGATTACCAGCTTATCGTGCACGGCAGGGTTAAATGAAAATATTTGGCCAGCATTTGAAGGTTCTCGTAGCGATCACAGATAAAATGGAATGAGTCAAACAAACACATTCAGCATCTAAAATTGTTAATCTGCTGTTAAGTTATAAAGGTTCTGATAAACATTTTTTAATTTATACATTGTGTCCCAGAATATGTGGGCATGCTCTCGAATTTGTACAGGAGCGTTAAAAAAATTTAACAAGTTGCTATAAAAAATATTTGTAGAGGGCCTCCTTACGGAGATATAGGCTTCTCAGGGAGCCAGTTGAGAATCGATTTTTTTGAATACCTTTTAGAATACTTCATACAATTCAATAATTTTTTTATACAATGAACAGTAAATCATTGCTCTTCAAAAGGACCCATGGAAACATTTTTAGCATTTAGGTTTGCTAGGAATGGACTAGGTGGAGCACAATAATGGTTAATTGTTTTTACCCATTACAATGAAGACACGAAAATAATGTGTTTAGGTAGCTTAACCTTAAACTAACAAAAAACACTCTTAATTCACATCGATAAACAGAACGGTTATTGAGGAAAAATATTTTTGCTTTTTTTATTTTTTTAATGTTTTTGTAATGTTCCCTGTACAAATCCGTGAGCTTGCCCACACATTCCGGGACAACTAACAATGTTAAAATATTCCGAAAATACTGTCATAACAAAACTGAGTGAAACTATACTGGTATAACGAATAAAACTGATTTAATAAAATACTATTTCAATGCTTAATAATACATTCAACATTAAAGAAATTTTGTTGAACAATACCTTTAGGCAGAACATTTAATTATTAATTAATTAAACAAATTAATCTAGAGTTTCAACCGAAAATCAGCTGATAAGACACATTTACTTCTTAACTTTACTCTTCCAATTTATATATTTTTTATTGCCGTTTATTTCGTAGTTTCGAATTATCACCAGAAAAGCAATTTATAGACTTAACAGAAAAACTACTAAGAAGCATTTATTGTTTTCAGTTCTAGTTTACCACAAAAATTCTTATACTCGCATATGGCAAGTATTGGGCAACAGCGTAGTTTCATTCAAAAAAAAAACTCTATAACTTTAGAAATGTTATGAAATTATGAAGAAACTTTAAAAATATTGTGCTATCAACACTCCAAAAAAGTTTTTGCTGGGGATCAACAGCTAAGTAAAATAGTTTTGGTATTTAATATTGAAGCAGAGAAAGAAACGAACATATATTTTGCTAAAAGTCGTACAAGATTTCAAAATACAAATTATTTGCCTTTTCTTTCAGCAATGAAAAAATGGTTGGCTTACGTAGTAAATTTCCAAATATTTAATATATCATTTAATACTTCATCTAATAGTAAATCCAAGTCAGGATTAGTATTTTTACATTTAAATATCCTTGCTAGACAAGGGAATAATCCTTCTAATTTTAAACACATTGATTTAAACCCGCCCTGTATAAATATACATTTATGTATTATCATTAAGGTGACTTTAAGCTCAGCTGTCCATTGAGAGGATTCTAATGAATCGAAAAATTAATGAGGCAACAGTTAACATTCGCTACCGGTTTTGAGAAGTTGTATTGTCCGACAAATTAGCTAAGATCATCACCTGTTAATGTTAGATGATTGCATATTAGAACCTTAGGTATTGAATAATGACGCAAATTAATATTAATTTGAATTTGAAGGAAATAAAATTCTACTATGCTCATTCAGCTGGAACGTTTTGAGTAGTTTCTTTAAACTTTTTTGATGTTTTCTTTATTGCTGGTGGTAATATATTCATAATAATTATCTCGATTATTTTCAAATTTATTAATATTAAAACTCTTGATCATTTATATTGCGTAAAGTTTTATGGCACTTTCTATTTATACATTGGAAATTATGCGTTGGATAGTACAGAAGATAACATTTCGTAACATAACAAATTATATCTCCACTGCATTCGTCAGTTACAATAAAAAATCATCAGGATATCACGGATTTGCCAACTTTTTTGGAAAAATTAATTATGTTGCGTGATACTAGCGAAACTATTCTGGTTGCGTTCAACTGATTTGACCAAGTTCTTAGTTAGTTAGTTAGTTAATCAACTAACATTTTTAGAATAAATTAACAATAAAAAGCAGATCTTAAAAATGAAGGGTTAAACTGATTTGAAAGTTTCGAACTAGAAAAAATAAGCTTGAGCAAGCAAGTCTTGTGTCTTCGCGAAAATTAAAGGTTTTACGTAAATTGCATTTCCAGCAAATTAAAAGTCAACATTTGTTATACTTTAGCCCAATTAAACATGCCTAGCTTGTTTTAAGCAATATTAATATAAAAAGCTATGCACATTTTGTTTCCACAAAATATGTCAATAAAGCAAATAAATTTTCCCGCTGGATCATATTTTTTTTTCAAGCCAAATATTTGATCCGAAGGGGTGCCTACACACAATCAATGCCTCATTTGTGAGTTTTAAAATATAGAATCTAGTTTTAAAAAATTAAGTAGTATGTTACTCACGTGTTCATTAAAAAGCTTTCAAATGCACTTACCTGAAAATGAGAGAAAATGTTAAAGTAATAGTATCAAAAAAGAAAGTAGACTTTTGTTTTATTGAATCATTTTTGTCTGTAAAATAGGTGAATTTTGTGGCAAGAGCATTTTGTAGGCGAAAAAATTTGATTTTGAACTGACCTATCAGTAGATCGCTTCCAAAGAGAAAAAAGAGAAAAAGCTACTCATAATGCACTTAATGTAAATTAATATAGAAATGGAGATTTTCGAAAGGTAATAAACCAGCAGCAAAGATAATAAAAATAATGACGAAACAATTTAAAGGACTTGTGGAAAATAAAACGTGATTAAACTTGTTATACATAGTTGAACAATAAGTCGTCAGTCATAAATTTGAGCAAGCAAAACATCTGTTGCAATTGACAATATGTGTTTTTATTACGAAATATTGACGAAAAATAACTTTGCAATGTGATCACATCCAACTGTTGACCAAGTGGGGTAAAATTTTGTGGTAACTGCACTAGACAACGAATACAGAATATTTTTTAAGACAAAAGCTATTTAATTATTGTGTCTTAAGTTTGTTCTGTTCTCTAATGCAAAAGAACATATTTCAATCGCCCTAATATCACAATATGTGAAAATTATTTTGTTCCGTAACATTATTTGATATCTAATCGATGATGGTGGGTAAATAAATCGAAACGTGCGAATTAAAGCTGCCCATGTGGAATTTGCGTTTTTATTAACTGGAGCGCCACATCATTTAATCAATTTTGGAAAGAGAAGCAGTCGAAAACAAAATGTCTTTATAATATACAATAAAGAACGTGTCCATCAAAAAGGAATAAATTCAGAAATTGAAAATCAGATTGTCTATCTATCCATCCCAGAGAAACTATTGTTTTTTTGGAACCGCCGTTTTCTTCCAAACGGGTTAATATCAGCAATATGGTGTATGAAAAATGCTAGAAAATTCACATAGAATAAAAAATTATTTGATTTGGAGATTTATATTTGAAGAAATGGGTATTCACAATATGAGCTTTGATGAGTTTTAATCGAATTTATTCATGTCTTGATGGACATTCTGGTATATAGTCTAGTCAATGAAAAATACAATCAGGGGATAGTTCGTAGTGGTCCCGTTGTTCAGCCGGATCGAAACCCAGTGGGCTTTTCCATGTCACGTAAAGACAGTATTTTTAAATATTGCAAATTTGCCGAAATTAATCAAAAACGCATACGACGTAAATCCAAAAGCAAAATATAATGTATCAAAAACAAAGTCCTATTTAAATATATTTTTAAAATCAAAACAAAGCCGATATTCAACAAAATGATAAAATTTAATATTATTTATTTCACATTATGTTCGTAATTCTAGTTTCAGGTGTACGTTTTTATTGATTAGGTTCGATCGTACATATATTTGCTATCAAGACTATTAAAGATGGGAATCAAACAAGTATTTTAACGTATATCAAAACTTCCACCTTTTATTGAACGTATTGAATGCGACGTTTTCCTAAAAAAATCCACGCTGCCATCTAGACTAGGCTGCATGAATTCCAATGAAAGGAACGTATGTTATTTTATACCGATGCAGTAAAATCCAGAGTAAATTTCATTCTTTCAATGCAAATAATAAGATTTATGATAATTAGCCTGCCCACCTTTATTATATAGTAGTTATCTAGTATCTATAATGTTATGAGCCACGCAAGCTAAGTCTAAAAGAAAGTACGAAACCAACATGCAAGCAGGATAATTACGCATCCAGACTCAAATTGTCCTCAGGTCTGATGATGTTGATGAATTAATAGAAACCAGCGATTTTATGCACATGTACTTGCTCAAGCATTTGTAGAATTTCCGCGTGGTACCGTTTCAATGTTACCAGCAAAAATTAGACACATTTGCAAAAAATTAAAAACCAATTTCAAATTCCACTAGAATAATGAACCTCTAGTAATTCAACTGAGCGTTGTTATATGAAATAACCCTTTTCCGCTGGACAGTGATGGGACAAAATGTCTTGAGCAGGTGATAATTACATCAATTTTGACCGAAAAACACAAATATAAGGATGCATTGGTTTTCACCTGTAAATTAGCGGTGTTAGCGGTACAATTAAATCGCTCTCCACTCTCAGATTGAATATATTCTCATCCTAAAAAAAGCAAAAAACTTGATTTTGCCACTCCCCTCACCCTACCGCTTGACCATCATTAGAATAATAATTATTCGTATCTAGAGTGTTGTGCACGGTAGTGGCGGGAGCAAGAGCCCGCAACCAGCTGAGATGCAAGACAGGCATTTGGTTTGGTTTCGAATCGTTTCTTCACTTTCGACGTTTCTGCACGTCTCACAAGATCCGCGCTAAGAACGCGAATGAAGAAATGCCCTCCTGGCAACGAATTTTCAAGTTTCAAAAGAAGATCCGGGAGGCTGGTTCCCGATTTTGCTCTGTCTAAATTTGGCGTGCTTCGATACTGCTCAGTAGGCGGGTTGGCGCGTCGCGCAATTATTGTTTTGGTTTGGTTTTGTTTGACTTACGGATACCTTCAATTATTTGAACACGAAATTTTGTTGATATTTTCCACGGTTTTGACGCGAGATACATTTTGAATAAATAATATGTTCGGAAGGTAGTTCATGTGAAAATTTGACGCACTTTTTAGTTGGTAGTGAGTACATGAGCAACCAAAGGTAAGTTTCACGTTTTTTCAAGATTTCGCGTATGTAACTTACTAGGAATATTAAACGCAACTTGAAGGGTTGATGTTAACTTCCTACACCTTGTAAAGTCGTTCAAAATTGTTACCTATAGGCCCAAAATACAATTCTCATTATTTTGTAGGCTCAGACAGGAATATTTCATTGATAGCTATTTTAAAATTTCTTAGAAGCAGGCGTTCTACAGCATGCCAATACTGCTATTTAATAGCAAACATTTACAGATGTTTACAAATTATTCCGCTGATAATACGACTACATTGAACAAACCAACGAAGGAGACCAAATTTAAATCAAATTGCAATATAACATTGAAATCTTGATTCAGTTGACTGTAAGACAAAACTATTTAAAAATTCCAGGGATTTGTATCGATTTTAAATCTGTAGTAAAATAATAGTTATGCTAAAGTGTAAGTTTCAAAATTAATAACTTTTCTGTAAAAAAATATAAGATGAGCTGCCCGATTTGATGACTTGCACGAAACTGATTACTTCTCATTTGCTACTAGAGATTGTTAATTAGGCGTCCGATGGTTTCTTTTATAATACTCGAAGAAGCTCCTAATATTCAACAAAAAACAAAATAATGACATTTCTTAGAAGAGTGAGTGGAAACACGATTTTTTAACCTTATAAAAAGTAGAAGTGCAGCTTCCATGTCAACAGTTTAAAGATTACTCACGTTTCAACGTAAATTAAAATCGATTATAATTCGACAAACTGTATTGATTAATTTCCTTTTGTTTACCTTACTAATTATAGTTATATACTTTACTGTATATTTAACTGTGAACGAAGTCGAATTATAATTACAAATTACCTTACAATTACATTGAAGTCTGAAGGTCTCTAATTATTTAAAGCTGGTGAGTTATTATATTTGGTCATATTATTATAGATTATCTGTCAGTCTAGTTATTTTAATAACACAAGTTATAAATCTTGCTAAAATCAACTTAAACTGCGAATTAACCATTAGATACAAGAATAGAATTTATCTCAACAGCGTGTTCAAGCCAATGCTCAAAAAACACATTAGTTAGTTGTTTTTTTAATAGAGACTTTAAACGGTAGAGCTTTCATTAAGTTCCATTAGCAGAATCGCATCATCTTTTAAGCAAACACTTGGGGCAATTTGGGCAAACTGAAAAAAAGTGTAAAATTACTTGCTCTCAAACAGAAGAAAAAAAGTATGAAAACTTGCGAATGACCTCAACCTCAAAATCATATCAAATCAAGTAAAGAGCATATGAAATAGCTACATCAATTGTGCCAATTAACGGATTATTGAATAGTGATTAACAATTTCATTAATATTGATTTTGCAAACGTATAAATCATAAATCGGCTAGAAACGGATGGAAGAGTACAAATAACAAGTTTGTTTTTAGATTAGATTTAAAAATTTAAACAAATTGTATCAATATTATCAAACAATATTTGGTAATCAATGTCTATCAATGTTATTTCCTTCAATTTTAAATATATTGTCTATACTATTCTCCTCAGACAACCACAGTCAGAATTTGTTAATGGATAAATTTTGCTTAGAAATGCGTCGGAATATTAAATGAAGAAATTGTTTGCTAATATTTATTTGTATGATCAAATATAACGATTGAATATTCTGTTATATTCAAATCTAATCGACTAGGTTGGGCTATATATAATTTTTGTTCTTTGGCAGCGTACCATTATGACTACCTTATGAGCAGGCGTTTCGAAAGGATCTTGAAATATATTTATAAACTATCAATTAGCATGACTTGAACCAAACTCCATAAAATTTCAGTTAATTTTTCTTTTAGTTACTCAACGCAGCAATTTTTGAATCACTGTAGGCAAAAGACGCTGATTTACTGCAGATCTCTCATTAATTTCATTTTACTACGCCAGCAAGAAAGGCTAAAATAAAAGCAAAAAGAAAGTAACTGCTAACAGAATTTTTATCGCTTCATAAGAAACACAAATAACATAATTTAGAAACTAATTACCTTAATTTTGATTAATTTCCTACCGTAATTAACGTACTAGTCAAACAGAAACATTATAAAAAAATATGGCAAAGTTGCTTAATTACCAATTCACGTTGTTAATTAAAAGTATACGCATCGTAAACTCTTGCATATTTTAATTTTTGATTTCATATAATTTGGCCGTTTCTCTTTACTTTTTGACATGTGTTCGCACACTTAATGTATGCTAATGGCTATTTGACGTCAATGCGTCAAAAAGAAGTTTAATAAATGAAAATAAAAATTAATAGCGTGTTTCTCATAGTAGCATTTAAGCGTATAACATTCAAGTCAGGTGATTTTCTTCGATTAGGTGCTTGTAAGATGAAGGAAATTTTGATAAAAGTAGAGTGAAACTAGCGATATATGCACAAGAATTATGATCATGTTTACCGTATTCGAGAAAAAACACAAATTGCTTTAAATGAAAATTGAATTATATGATAGGTATGGATGTATAAATGTGATTCTTTTCAACTAAAAAATGTATATTTTCAATTGTGAGTGTTATGTTGATATTGGCCAAAAAGACTGGTAACAGACCAGTAGAAAGACAAAATATGTTGAACACACTTAAAACTAACTATATCTAGTCTCCGCAATAGAATTAACTATTGTGAAAATATTCACATTATATTGGAATAATTAAACCAACTGAGAAAATGGACCTATTTTTGGAAAATATATAAAAGAAAAAAAATATTCAAAAAAATAAATATGAAGAATTTAATGGTCTATAATATAAATAATTTTTTTCATAAGTCATTTTAAAATGTGAGGGATCCGAGTAAGTGATGAAGAAAATTATGTATCTAAAGATATTAATTTTGAAGATAAATGAAACTATTGACAACGATGCTTCGATGCTATGAAGGTGCGTTACAAATCAAAGTTTTACATTAACGGGTGCAAAATAATATTTGAAATAAATCGAGACAGATACCTGATGAAGAAAGCAAAAAGTAGTATTGGATAAAGCTGCTGTGCTGTCTAGTTTAATTATGGCATTATTAGATGTGATAAATTAATTATTAAATTTTAATGTATTTTATAAACATAAAGTTTTAGATCCATCATAAATCAACCAGTTCTCAGTTATTTCGAAATTCAGTATTACGGAACCTGAAATAAATTGGGTTTGTTGTCAGGTAATAATGGAAATAAAATATGCATTAACATACATTTTTTCGTTATGCTAAAAAGTAGTTTTATATAAAAAGCAGAATCATATGTGATATAACACATGCATATTTCACTTTGTTTTCGAATTCCTACTCACGGATTGAGTGAAAATTGTTGGCTAAATTCAAAGTTTTCTAGGATTCAAATACTATATAAAACTGTTAATTTATTATTATAACCTCAATAACCTGCAAGATGTGAAACTTGCCTACTTCTGCAAAAAACAAGTAACTTTACTTTGTAAATGTGAAATATTTTTTTTTAATTGTACGATTTAGTTGCCTTGGATGCTGCGAATTTTATTTAGAAAGGCTTTATAAAATCAGATTTTTTTACTTTATTTCTTTCTATTCTATTTACATTATACAGGGTGTTTGGTAAGTAGATGCATTCCTTGCAGGGGGTCATAATAGTGCAAGTAATTTCGGATATATTTTGTTAATAGACCACTTACTTTTAGAAAAATTAGTGGCGTAACATTTTTTTATTTAAAATTATCCACAGACGTGAATGTAGCCACGCCACTGGAAAAGATAGACACAACATTTTTATTGCAAAACGTGTATTGTTCTTAATTGCCTAAGCCTGTCAAATTTAATTACGATAGTCCATGCGGTTTTCGAAATATTAATAAATAACATTTTTTTATTAAAACTTTAACACCCTATAGATCGAAAACTAATGGTTTTCGGAACCTGTTCTATTAACAAAACATATCAAAAATTAATTGCACTATCACCCCTTGCAAGGAATACATCTACTTACCAAATACCCTGTATTATTGCATTCAAGTATTGCAAATTATATGGTACAATTAATAAACTTGCGAATTTAAAAATTACGAGTTTTTGCTGAAAAAGCAGCTATTTAGCATTCTCTACAGAATCACACACCCTGAAAGGTGTTTCCTGTACCATCGCTTATGTAAGCAGTTTCAGCCATAACAATAATTTTCGAAGCTCCGTAACGCTTAATTTTCATGTCCGCCTACGATTTCTTGTAGAAGTTTTTGCCAACACTTTCCAAAACTCATGTTCTCTTACTCATAAAAGTAGAATCATGTTTGCATAAAACTTAATGCTTTGCATGTTTTTTTAAAGTTATCGGCCATTTCCGGAGATACGCATTCAATTGATGCTAGTAAGAAATTAGTTCGAACGAATACTTAACTAGATAGATTTAGCCAAAGCTTGACGCATGATCTCTAGATTGAGAAAAAAATGTTAACAACAAAACCACAGTTTGATTCAACCGTGAATCCACTTCAATGAAACATCATGCTAGACTATTAGATTTCGTTGCGTTTCTGTAGAAAAATTGACCTTAAACTATAGAATATTCCAAAATCATAGCAAAAGTTCATAAATTGATTCCCGTAAAAATGTTTAAAAAGCATTATAATAGGACGCAAAAAACGCACAAAAGTACGGACTTGGATCAATTTTTTTGAGTCTTTCCTAAAGTGTTATAGCGGACACCGATTTAGGATACAAATGGGAATTGAATTGAATTCATTGTTTTTTTCAAGTAACGACTTATAGTTGATGAAGTTAATTATAAACAAATAATAAATATTAGTTATATTAAGTAGTAATTCCAATTTCTTCAATTCCACTCTTTTCAACTTTAAGTCAATTAATAATCAATTTAGTATAAATATATAATATAACAATAAATAATTTTAGTGAAGCTAAATAGCTGGTCGCACAGTTAAAAAAATATTCTTGAAGTTGGAAAAGTGAAACTAGTATTTAAAGCATGTATGTTGTATGAC